GGAGATGAAAGGGGATCAGCGAGTGAAGGTACACAGAGGAGAAAGGGGAGAGAGCTGAGAGAGGGAGGAAAACAAAGTGGAGGAGAGCGAGCGGCACTCATGAGCGCTGGCTCACACCATGTAAGGCTTTATTCAGCAACAATGGAACAAGCCTTCAGAGCAATATCTCCGAGTGTCACATTCTCGCCGTCTCCATGGTTTTCGTATTTCCTGCTTGGCTGTAACTAACGGCTGCTGAGATGAAGGCAGATGTTTGCGTGGGATGAGCTGTTTGTGGGGAATCGAGGATTAGAAGGGGAATTGTAAAGCGGTGTAAACACTGGCCAATCAACCTCTGCGCCTGTTCTTATTGAATCTAGTGCTACTTCTGCAGTACATTCAGTACACAATACATGAAGGTGCGTCATGGTTCTGAAGAGTCCTTGGACGGGTAAGACGCTAATCCTGCAAACGTACTTACTGGAGAGTCTGTGGAGGTTCTAAATGTGAGAGTTTTAAAGAGCCTTTGCAAGAAGTGAAAAGAAAAGAAATAATAAAGACGGAACAGCGCGGAATTGAAAGATGACCGACACAAGGTCCGAACTGCGCCCCGATAAAGCAGACGTGAAGCATCCTGCTCTGTGTGAATCTACAAGTGGACACACGTGCCGGATATCTCCACGTCTGCGCTGACAAACGAGAGGCAGTTTAAGTTGACTCCCCACAGTCACACACGCTCCCAGCAGAGCTAATGAGGGAACTCATTACAACTTGATTCCACTTATATCTCAGTTGACACGCCGTCTCCAAAAGGGAACGAAGAAAATGTAGAGTTGATGAGGAGAATAAAAAAAACTGTAGTAACTGATTAGAAGATGTGGATCCGGGCTTAAGGGTATTATTGATGACCATATTTTCACTATTTCTGAAATTTAATAGACCAATCCATTATCATCAGAGTCCCTATTTGCTGTGTGACCCATACAGTAAAAACAATAATGAATAAAGTAAAATCAATCAATCTGATAATCAAAGATGCACTTCTGCACTACGGCTCCGTCAGTCGGTTTCATCTGTATGATTTCACGATGTCTTTCACGATGTGAGGTCATCTGCGCAACACGGCAGCGTTCTTATCTGGGGACATTCTGCCTTCATTTCTGAATACAGGGACGACGCGGAGGAGCGCCGTCTTTATTTTCAGTCCGTGTTGTTGACGCGGATTTCACACACACATTGCGCAGCACATGTTGCCATCAAAGAGCTGACCCCGGGCAGAGTGCTGTTTTATTAAAAGCGTAACCTTATAGAATGTATGGGATTTCTCCAGGTTTGCTGGATGTGAGATTATGCAGGCAAACGACTGCACGACTGCACGACTGCAGGCAGGATTATACATTATTTAAAGAATTATTGATGCGTGTCTATTCCTCAGACATGTTTACTACCCCTCCTTCTTTTCTCCATGTGCCTACCTCACGTTTTCACTCTTACACATCCCCTTATTGCTCAGCTTCTCGGGCTTTTCATCGCTCTTTGCTTCTCCGTCGATCTGAAAATGTCACAGCGCTCCCGAGCTGTGATTGTGTTCAGCTGACTCAAGCTTTTCTACAAAACAACACTGGCAGCAGATCGCTCAGTGTGTGTGTTGGTGTCCCGGCACCATCGCATTAATTAAGAGGGAGGGAGTTTGTGTAAGACTGTGGCACAATAATGCACAATAATGCAAAGCTAACACATCGAACGTGAGTCGGCTTCTGTCCTGAATCGGCTGCACTTGATATCAGCTGAGTGGATAATTATTCTCACCAGCTGTTCTACAGTAACTACTGAAACAGAAGCTCCAACACACCACCAAACAAAGATGAGTTGTTCCTCAGCGTTTGTCTGTCTGGAATGCTCAACATACTGAAACTGATGAACGCACGATCCTCACGTTTCTGTGGTGGCATCTCACCTCCATTCCAGGAGCCGTTGAGGGGTAATACTGTTGCGGTGGCATCATGGCTGTCCTGTGGCGTGGTCCCCTCAGCGCTGGCGACCTCGGGCTCCTGCAGGCTGTCCTCCTCCACGATGTGTAGCTTGTCCTCGTCATCAGAGTCTGAACTGGCCTCCAAGCCATTGTTGAAGTCTGTCACTGCAATGAGGAGAAACAGGAAAGAGAGATGATTAAATGTGTAAGATTACAACCAAACAAACTCAAATTTACCTTCACCAAGGACTCTATGTTTTCTGCATTTGTGTGTTACAGCGTTAGGCCTTGAAGGAGGTATATGTGCTCTTCTCTAGTTTTCATCTAAGATGCACAAAAGGCAACGTGCTGACAAAAACCCCACAAAATATGTGAATCAAATTGAACTCTAAAGAAAAAGCTCCTCAAGTGTAACAGCTCAATATTAAATTGCATGTTTTCTCATCGTAATCCAGCCTCAGTGATGATTCCTATCCAGATGCACTCCTGTTACTTGCTCACATATCAATCAATGTGACCTGAGCTACAAGCAGTTTTTCTCCCTTCATGTGCGAGGAGACGACATAAAAATGAGCAGAGCACAGCCACAGGGGAAAATAATCACTTGTTTATCAGCCTCAGAAAGCAAATCTATTTTACACTGTGCTGCAGTCCGTGAGTTTGTCTGTGGGTAGCTGCTTCTTAATGCGAGCTCAGGATGAATAATGGACCAACTGGACTGGTGTGAATGAACCCGCAGGAAGAGGTGTGTGTCTGCCTGTGTGTGTGTGTGTGTAGCAGAAAAGCTGTAGATGTTGGAGACGGGGAGGTGTGTGTGGATGTAAGTGTTGAGGAGCGCTATGCTGTAGGTAGTATAATTGCCTTTTCACAGTCAGCATGTGTGTACTCGTGTCTGTTATCTTAAATGAGTATGTGAGTGAACATGTGTGTGTCTGTGTGTGTCTGTGTGTGTCTTTATGGGTGTGCGCGCTCTCTGCAGGGAAGCTGTACGACTTGGCAGAGGTGCTGAAGATGTCTAATGAGCAAGAGAGCCCAGGCTGTTTGTTCACAGGTGACAGGTGCACGTGCACACACACACACACACACACACGCACAGGTTACAAACCACATAACAAGATGTGTGTCTGTAATTCTGCACATCTTTAACGGGAAGCTGTGTCAGGTAGCGCTGTTGACCACTCACACACCCCTGCATGCACATGTTGCAAATGTGACGCATGCCTATTTTAACCTGCCTACGTCTAAGACACACCAAGAGCATGCACACACGCACACACACACACACACACACACATCCTGTATCACCACTCAGACAAAATTTGGTGGAGATGACTCTTGTCGTTTGTGTGTGTGTGTGTGTGTGTGTTTGTGTGTGTGTGGTGGGGCGTCAATGCATGTCTGAATCGATGTTAGAAGCTGGGAGAGTAACGGAGTGGAGCAAAACAAAGAAGTATGATGTGAATACATGCAGGAGCTGCTCTGTATGCCATTCATATTTGGCCATTGGATTAAAATGTGATGCTAACACAACTTTTGTTGGTCGCTACTTCCTATCCTGAGCTGTGTGTGTGTGTGTGTGTGTGTGAGACCATAACATCAATAGTAATAGTGTTAGTGAGAGCAGGAGAACAAATTTATATCTTACATGTGTTAACAGTGACAGTTTTGCTATTAATCAAATTCTCGATGAAGCTACTACTCATCTAGATTTACAGATCAAACAATTGGTCGAAAAAAATAAATGTATGATCTTGAAAAACATCCGTCACAACTTGTTTTGTTCGACCAAATATTCTGAGAAGCTGAAGCTGCCTGTGCATCAGGTGATCGTAAACATCGACAGTTACTGCCAGACACTCAGCCCAGGCTCGTCCGTGCAGACAGCGTCTCTCTTCACTCAGACAAAACGACCAGACCGTTCTCGTGGCAGTTCTAATAATAAAAAGTCTATAATTTCAGATAAACAGCTCGTGTCTGCTCGACACAACGGAGGCCGCCGGCTGCAAACTGGTGAGTTATTCTTAACAGTGTTGGCTGGAGGGAACAACAAGCTGAGCACCGGATAACACAGAACACTGGAGAACACACAAAGTAAAAGCTGGAACTGATACAGTCTGCACACTCTTCAATGAATTAGCTGATTTTTTCTCAGAAAAAGCATCTTAATGATTAACAGGTTGAGGGCAGAAAATCTTGATGACAACTAATCTGGAAATTCTTCTTTTCTGAGACACTGTTCCTTCTCCTTTTATTGTCAGAGTGCAGTTACCACAACAGGAGACAGGGGGCGTGGTAGAAAAGGCAGATAACTGCTTCCCATCACGAGGCGTAAACAGTCTCACATCAACTTTTCTCTCCTGTGTGTGTGTAGGTGTGTGTGTGTCCGTGTTTGTGTAGGTTACAGAGAGAGATGAAGAGAGAGAGACCTGTCCACATGATGAAGACAAAGCACCAAGTGAACTGTTAATCCTCCATCTGGAGGTCTGTACAGAGGAGAGGAAGAGGGAAGTCTAGACCGTCGCATTCCTCCCTTCCTGCCATCCATTGCTCTGATTAACAATCTGTTTCATAACAGGCTACTTCATAATTACTCTGAACTCATGTTTATAACTGAACATCTGTCTTCAAATATTATTTACACCCACTCAGAGCAGAAAGCACCAGAGATAAATGCTATGTATCCTCTCAAAACCCAAACTGGTTAAGAAAAGTGAGAGATGACGAGAACAAACTGTGGCCTGAACTTCTCCTCCAGCTTTTATTTACTTGTTCATTGATTGAATCAGACAGAACAGAGACGTGGGGGGAGGTGGGGGGAGAGAAATGAGTCAGAGGGTTGAATTCATCATATCCTGACCTGAGTCAATCTAATAATCATTAAGTGAGGAAATTAAAAACGGACTGTAATAACACAGCAAAAAGTGATGAGCAGCAAAGTCTCCACAATAAAACTTTGAAGATAAAGAGTTCCTCCTCATTCATGCTTTGGCCCTGCAAACATCTGCACTGTAAACAGCTGTATCAACTGAACTCATCCTAGTGTCTTTCATTTAACATCCAATAACTGAAACAGGAGGAAATAAATGATTTCCTCAAAGAGTTCCAGCAGCAGTTGACAGAGCGAGCAGCAAAGCATCTGACTCCTTCAGTGCTAGCATCAGTGAGCCAGACCCACATCAGGACACGTGACCCCGCAGGAGGAAATCACGTGTGTCTGACACACCACAACACATCCACGACTGGACCACACGGCTGAGTATCTTGGTCAGAGGTCATCTGCTATGCAGTGAGAAGAGGCGGAGGGAGCGTGAGAGCGAGCGGGTTAAAAATAGACTACAGATACAATGCAATATATATAAGGACCATATAGGCCTTCATCACACGGCTTCAGAGTCTGCAGGCTCTGTGAGGCTGGGCACAGCTAAATGAGCTAAATGCTAACATATAAGCTCATGATGAAGATGCTAACATGCTGATGTTGAGCAGGTACCATGTTATCTGCAGGCAAACGTCATAAAGATTGACGTGTCAGGAATCGAATGTTATTTTGATTTGAACGGTATCGGACGTTTTTACTACCTAACATTGGAATCTGCCCCAAAAAATCCATAGTGGTCGGACGCTAGTAGAAACATCAGTCATGTCATATTTTTCAAATTGAACAGTGCAAGTCAACCAATAAAACGTGAGCGGCTCATCACGATCAGTCGTTAATTAAAGACGCGATGATTGACTCAGCTGAACAAAGCTCATTAAACTGAACCCGGAAGGAAAATGACTCGACTCCTCTTTATGACCCGTTTATTGAAAAGTCCTAAAGAAAAAGATGTTTGAGTAAAACATCGGTAGATTCGACAAGGCCATGAGTCTGCTTGTGTGTCTGTCTGTCTGTCTCTGTGTGTGTGTGTCTGTGTGTGTGTGGGTGTGTGGGTGTGTATTGGCCCAGGGCAGCTGTGCAGGATGGGACCTCTGCCAAGCCCCTAACAGACAATTACCCCACTGTGTGTGTGTGTGTGTGTGTGTGTACATCACTATAGCTGTCTGTCTGCTACTCGATGTGACCAGACTTTAACATGCTGAGCAGCTGCACACAGTCGGCCCACTTAAAGGGACAGTCACACATTTTTCCACTACGAGCTCATGTTGTGGGACAAATTCTTCAGAAATAAAGTCGTTTTTTTAGAATATCAGGATTATAGTTATCAATACTTCTTCAATCACAACATGTCAGATTACAGAAAGAACAGCGTGACTTGAGGACACCGACACGTCTCTTTGATAACTTCCAACATTAAACTACTGTTACGGTTGAAATAAAATCACATTACTTACACTGCTGCTTGTGTAAAAGTTTAGAGATGCAACAATTTGTCTATGAATGTATTAGTTTACTGTCAAAAGGGAGTTTAGGTTTGTTGAGAAAAAAATGAATAAAGCAAAACACATTATTTTTGACTGGGGAATTTTAAGGAATTTTTTATTCTTTTTTTTGGCCTGTTATGGACGAAGCGATTGAGATTTCACAGCGAAAACACAAATCTGAAACAGACATTTCCCATAAATTCTACTGCTTCCTGTTGCAAACGGACTGTTGACACCTCTCTCCCTTTCCTGGTGAGGATAACCAGGTCTGACGTATTGTTTTCAGCAGGTTTTAACTCGAAACAGCACCGAACAAGCAGATTTACGATATCGACGCGAAAAAACTCAGCGATTGTTTGCTGAACTTTGTGTTTTTCGTTTAAGGTCACACTGAAACACCTTTCACCTTTGAAATCCAGGTGAAAAATGTCTACGACAGAGTTCGGCCTCGTCACAGGACTGGAAGATGTTAAGTATTTAGCACTGAGTCATGTTCTTGAGGTGTCTGTTAAAAGTCAACATCATGAGGTAAGACTGCCGCTGCGTCATCCTCCCAGACAGGAGAGGAGAGGTGTGGTCACTCAGTTCCCTGGAACACGGTGCTGTGTTTCCATTCCCACCTTGCTCTAAATCGATAGCACCAACAATCTCTATATATAATATCTTACAATTCATCCTGGGACGTCAATGAGGTGTGTGTGTGTGTGTGTGTGTGTGTGTCCAGAGTAATCAAGGCTCTCCAGCTGCTTCCTGCTCAGCCCAGGTGCTTAATCAGACCCCATCAGATCTCGTTCTCTCAGCAG